GAGCTACATGTATTTATACATGGGCTTCAGCCCGAGTGGCTTCCACTAAGGGTGTGCATCGGTCGGTTTGGTCGACCGACCGAACCAAAATAGAAAAATCGAAATAACCGAACCATATTATGCCAAAAACCGAAACCGATCGAATTATCAATTTAACCAAACATTAAACGACCGAACTTCTTGATCGGTTTCCAAAACGACCGAACTACACATTTTATAATATATATAATATAATAAATATATATTTATATATATTATATTATTATAATATATGTAATATAATATAGTATATAAATATATATATACATATATTGGGTCGGTTCGGTTATCTCGGACATTTAATATCCGAAAACTGACACCGACCGAAATAACCGAAAACTCATTTGACTAAAACTGTATACCGACCGATTCGGATAAAAACGGAATCGAAATTTTCGATTTGGTCGGTTTTTTCGTTTTTAGTCAAATTATGTTCACCCCTAGCTTCCACAACTTTTATTTAATTTATGCCCGAGTGGCTTCTACAGGTTTTACAATTCTACAAGTTTAGCCCAAGGGACTTCAGGCCGAGTGGCTTTAGCCCGAGAACATTTTGAATCTTAGTTCTGGCCCTGAGTGAAGTGCACCATGACATGGTGAGTCAGATGAAGCACAAGTGAGGTTTCATCGCAAAATCAATCGGTGAAATAAGGAATAGTTCACTAGACTTATTAAGTTGGACATATTTTATCTATATAAACAATGTAGAACAACTCACAAATGGTATTTTATAATTACAAGTACTATTATCATCTAATAAAAACTTGGCGTTAAAACGGGAAGATTCGATGTTATAACATTATCCAATTTTTTATCTCCTGGATTACACAAATTTATCCAACAATAAAAAAATCCACCGTTATCCATAGCCACAAATTTTTCATCCTAATTCTTTTCACTTTTCAAATTTTAGAGTTGTTATTTCAAATTTTGCTTTTAGTTTTTCTTAGGATATATACACACTTTGAGGAGTTTGTTTTGTTGGCATATTGTGTTATTTTATTTTTACTAGTGTATTTTATTTTAGGGAAAACTGAAATTAAAAACGTGGCATTTGGGAAAAATCCACGAGGCTATCAACATCATAGTTCATGCTGAGCGGCTGAGATAACTTGCGTAAACTACTAACCAAGTACCTACACAGTATTAAAAAAGAAAAGGAAAAAAAACAAACACCACGTGTCAGAATCTGACCGGCTCCATCAACAACCACACACTCAAACCACCACGTGGACTGAGTGACGTGACGTGGTGTTGCTTTCGGCTGCTCAAGGGAAGCCACGAAAGCATTAAAGCGGTTGTTTAGCTCAAGGGAAGCTACGAAAGCATTAAAGCGGTTGTTTGAAACATGATTGTTTGTTGTGATTCGGTGAGTCTTGTCTAAATACAGTAACATTCACCATCTCTCTAAAAGTGTTCGAATAAGTTGCCCAAATGTTTATTCTCCTCTTAGGAGCGTGTGTGGTAGGTAAGTTCTAGGCTACACCTTGTTGTAGTTCACCATGCTAGATTCAGTTGTATAGCTGTGTATTCGACCGTGTGGCTGTTGTATTCGGCTTTATGGTTGGACTCTAGTCTTTGTGTTTGTTAATAATATCTATTGTTTGAAAAAAAAAAAAAAATGGGTTTCTTTTTTCTAAAAAAAAAAATCACAATAAGTAAATAAATATGATGATTTTTTATTTTTAATGTGTGTTATTACTATATATAACATCCTAAGAATCAAAATATGTATATATTTAAAATACCAACGTGCAAGGAAAACGAATAAAATGGGAAAATAAAAGAAAAGGGCATTCGTACATGCACCTTTCTTGAACCACGTTATAATTAAGCCACATTTGTGAACGGGAACGATTGCTTGTTCTTACACTCTTACATCTGGATCTTCAACAAAACGTTTGAAGCTTAAAATCAATCAGAGTCCCACAAAGTATAATGTTCCTTTTTTCCTGCAATGCCGTCCAGATATTTCATTCATTCAGATTTCACACTTACAAAAACTTAATTCAATGGACTTCAAATGTTCTGATGATATCATAGAAGCTCGATAATAATCTTTGTAGAAACTCGATGCAACAATTATTACACGCAGTATAAGAAGTTCGAAAAAACTATCCCCAAGCAGTCGGTCACAAAATTTATGCCCCACATCACCAAGTCATCATCCCATGCAAAGCACTAGCAATTATAAACCTTGATATTAAGGAAAATGGAATATAACATAGTTGAACCTTTGATGTAAAAAAAAAATGCAAATTAACATGTGATTTGCAGCTTATAAAAGGAATAATTATGGGACTAAATGGCTTAGGTATGGCAAAGCTTTCAGTGATTGCCCAGCTTAGCTAAATATAGAAAAACCCATAGTCGTGGAGAAACATTCATTTGTAGCCAGCACAGATACAAAACATGCACAAACATACTAACAATATACCTAAAAATGAAATTTCATACCTCTTGTCCATTCGTGCGTGTGATGGCGAATTGCTGCTTCTGTTAAATAACTTGCATTTGTCACACACACAGACACATGCCGAGCAGGATCCACTCTTGAGGAACATTAAAAGAACGGAGATGCAAATTTGATTCTATATTTCTATGCTAACTTGTATCTGTGATATTTCCAAAAAAGGAGGAATAAAAAATACTTCAATTCCTAGTTCAAGTTCTAAAACCTCATTACTGATGACTAAGAATAGTTGTGCAAACAAAATGCAAGAGAAGAACAAAATTAACAACTCAAAATTGTATACTGACTCATAATTCTCTCCTGCTGGTAGCAAGATCACTGGCAATATCGTTTGGATCACGTTCAAAATCTTCAAGATACACACTGTACGCAGGATCATAGGCAACAGCCTTGTGCAGGTACGCCATCGCATCTGCTTTGCGGTCTACCGTCAATAAAGCACTAGAAGGAGCCAAATCAACATAGATAGTTACTAGTGAGTAATCCCAAAATAAAGACAGGAATTGAATCTTTTAGGGTGAAATAAATTAAGGGTTAATACAAAAAACGGTCGAAGACGTCACTACTCTTAAACTAAAAAGCCAGGTATCATTCCAAATTACAACTAACATACATTTTACATGGTAAATAGTCTTTTCTGAGTGTTCACGTGATACATAATCAGGCTATACCATGCAAAATGTTTTGTAATTGTACTTAAATAAATGGAAAACAATCTGTAAGAGGTTGAGGTTTGGTGGCACCAATATAATACCTTGAAAGGATAAGTAGACCATCGTAGTAGTGGGCCTTGCTCTTGGGATGTTCAGGCTCTTCTAGTTGAGCTATTCTTTCTAGATGTAGAAGACCCTCTTCCACTTTTCCCTGAAAACAAATAAATAAGTGGAGGCTAGAAAAGTTTAACTTGAATTTACTTAATATCCAGATTTCAGGCATTCATTCAAAATGAGAGCCTTTTTAAAAATATATCACCATTTTCAAGAAATATATGCATATCTTCCAGTAGAGCAATTTGCAGCTTATTATTATCCCTGTTGTAAATTACTCTGCTAAAGGATCACTATAAACTATTACAAAACCTTAATCTACACTCTCCATGCAATGGGTACCACTAGAATTCTACATTCTTTTACAAGTAATCAATGCAACTAACATACATGTTTTGAGAAGTAAATTACGGCGAAGTAGGATCCTCATCATTTTCATTCATTTTCAGTGGCTCCTAATATAAACAATGCATAAACCAAAAATATATAGCATATAGTTGTAATTTAACACGTTTTTTAAATTTAACCCTTGGGAGTATGAACATATTCAGAAAGTTATGGGCTGGAGTACTAGAACAACGGAAATTTTTAATTCTTTTCAGCAAGTGATGTCTTTTAAGAGACCAGCTGTTATATTTCATATAGTTAAAGAGTTGATAAAGGAGGAGTTGGGTCATCACATATGGTAGGAAGGTGTTCAGCTAGTACCTGATGCACATTTGCAATACCAGCCCACATAGATGTAAGAATTAAAAGATCAACTTCTTCAACTTCTGTAGGATAGCCAGCCTCAAGGAGCTGCACAGGGAGTGGGACCAAACGCTTAGCCGGAATATATTGGTGAGTTAAAGCTCGTGGTTAAATTAGAAAAAACACGTCATATCTGATAGACAGAGATATTCCACATGCAGATCAAAAAACCTTTTGATAATGCTTCAACACACAAAAATTTTAAGGCTGAACACAATATTGAAAGTTTTAATCATACCTTTGAAACAGCACTCTCCAGCCACCCAGCAGCCTCAGCATATTGTTTGTTTTGTAATAGCGTCTGGCCCATTATAAGCAAAGCTCTTGCGTTCCCAGGATCCTTCGTTAGAGCAAGCCTACAGTTCATTTTCAGCTTAAGCAGCATAACATTCAAGAGAAATGCAGCCACTGAAGACAAAGGTTTGATTTACCTTAATAATCTGACTGCTGTATCCTTGTTGCCATCAGTTAAGATTTTGACTGAATACTGTCAAAATTTGCAGACATAGATAATTAGAAAGTATCCACGGAACTCAGAACGTTTTAAAGGAGATTATACAACATCATCACTCACAGCAACCAACACTGCAGGTGATAGGTCTACAGCAGGGATTTCTCCTGTCTTTGTCAATATCATAATATCTGCTACTCCCGAACTGCCTGTTTCTTTATTAGGCGGAGGTGGAGCTACCACTGGAGCATTCTTTGTAGGAAGCCCCAAATACTCGAGAAATCCAGGATGGCGGAGGAATAATAGCTGTATGCAAAAATAAATAAATACTAACATACAGTAACTCAACATACGTCCCATGATAAATGTGGAGTGTTATTGCTGCTAGAAACGAAGAAGAGGAATGGGAAACTAAGATAAGGAGAAGATGAAATAACAGCCATTCTTTCTCATCTGCGATCCGCCTGAACGAATACACCATCTACTTCACATTTTATCTCCCCTACCTACCTTGGATAACCATTGTCTGGGATAGAATTCTGAGAGTTGAATTTACCAACTTCCACACGAGCACCTCCCCCCAGCCCTAGTCTCAAGAATCCCAGCTGCACTTTCTGTGCAGTCCAACTTTTAAATTCATATCCCGCTAGTAACTTGCAGGTAGGCCCACACATTAAGTCCAAGGCATAAATTTCTACGAGATGAAACTGCACTAGCATAGTTTAAAATGGCGACGCCTCGAGGCGAGGGGACCGAGGCGTGGGCCACATCGCCTCGCCACTGCTTGAGGCGACCCTGTTCGCGTGGCGCTCGCTTCAGGTCGCCTCGGCTTGCTTTTTCGCGTGGTGAGAGGCGCCTGTGTGGCGCTCCTCGGCGCCTTTCAGGGGAATTAAAGGCACAGACCACCCCTTATTTTAAAATAATAATAATAATAAATGCGTGTTAACACTTTCTGGAAAAGAGAATAAAAAAAACGCACATCGGGCTCTTTTTTCCTTCATCTCCCAGACCCACGAAGCTAGGGTTTTACCGGACTGAGGACATAAGCAAAAAAATCTTCACCTTCAAAAACCTTCAACTACTTTCTTAAGTGGTGTTGTGTTTCAATTACTTGCCTTTATGGGAGATATTTGATGTTATTTTTATCATTTGTACACAACTATATAAATGCACAAAATATGTGTAGCTGAGGCCTCGCCATGGCGAATCGCCTCGCCACGTGGCGAGGCCATGGGCCAATCGCCTCGCCTCGCCTCGCCATTCGCCATTTAAAACTATGTGCACTAGTTTATAATAAGCTTCTTGTATATAGTTATATCAATTTGCATGGGCAACGGAATCCATATCACTAAGTAGTAAGTACTGAAGTAATAAGGTAATGGAATAATGTAGACACATCGAATCAACTAGGATAACTGATAAAAAGAAGAACATTATTATAAGAGAAGTATCACTAATATGACCACCAAAAGATGCTCCCAGTCGAAGTAGAGAAAACTTGTCTAATTTTCCGATCAGGACTACCAACCTGTATCATACTCAATGAACTATTTGTAAGCCAATATACTAAGCTTCCCTGCAAGCATGAACAAGAGATATGGAAGTCAGGGAAATAAGCCACAGAAGAAAGAAAATCCAAGTCATTGCATATTCTTGATATGATGTCATGAAATTGGAAGATAAAGCAAGCATTGAAATTCAATTTTGAAAAATTTTGTGTGATTAATGCAGCAGCACAATGCTTTTTGAGAGGCGTTACTGTTGAATGGATCACTGACTCATCTTGCTTGGAAGTGATAAACATGGAACGACATTAAAAAAGTTGGAATAACATACATCCAGAAGGCACATACATGAAATATACCTGGGGAACATTGAAGGCAGCAATCAAAATAGGCAGAGTCAGCACTTGCAGATATATCTTGTATATCTATCAAGCAAAAGATGGATCACGTCGTAAGGACTTGTTTCAAATACCTGACTAATTGAAATGCATTAAAGAAAACCATCAAATCAACTGTTTCCAAAAAGAATAATATTTACTTTTAATGGTTACAAGGAGACTGGAATAGTGTGGATTCTAAAATACCTAATGAGACATATAGGGATCAAAACCGACATAAGCCAGAATAATACCCTTATAAAGGGTGATCGTACCAATCGACTGCAAACCCATGGTCTCATAAATAATAATAATAATAATAATAACAATTAACGGATCCAGCAAAGACAAGAACAAGTTATTAAGAAGACAGTGAGCATATAGACAACTCATATAACTTCTAAATGCTCACCTTTAGCAATAATCTAAAGGAGCCTGGAGCTTGTTCAAGTGATGATTTTTGGAATGATATCTGCAAAGTTATATTACGTAACACTAGCATGTCAGTTTAAAAATGATAACTAGGGAAAAAAATGGATGTCACTACAGGGTATCAAATAAGCAGTCAAAGAGTTAGATCAGGGATCATACTAAACTTTCGGTCATTTGGCAGATAAATTTGAAATATCAAACCTATGGATGCTAATAACATGTTTATAGCTAACCAAGTGTTGTGGACAAGACCAATGCGGCCCAGGTGAGCATAACCAAGTTAATAGAAAAGTTGACATGGCCAAAATTAGGTTCACATGCTAGGTCTACAGTCTGATTGAGGCCTAGAGATTTATACTGTGAAAGAGATAAACTGATAGCCCTTGGTAAACATAATTAGAAAATGTTCCTCTAACACCAAATCCTCCAGCTCTTCCATCTCATACACCAACTCAGAAATATAACTCCATCAGCTAGATAGAAATAGTATAAGCTGTAGACACATATTATTCACTGGCTGAACTATATAACAAGGATTTTATTGCTTGGAACAGAACCAAGATAAGTGAAATCTAAACCTGAAAGCCATGATGGGGCATCACCAAACAAAGCAGTGATGCTTCCAGGAGGACTTGTTGTTAACCTATTATAAACTCCATCCCCGACACTGGTGTCTCATTTACCACAATCAAATGCATATCTGTAATCATAAGCAAGAGTAGAATTGAGGTCTAAGTACTCTTAGGGTAGTGTTATCAACCTGAATATTGGTGAAATGCAAGCCTGCAATGAAAAATGGGAAAACGAGCCCCAAGGCACCATGAGGGTATTCAGTCAAATTATGGAACCATAACATTCCTCCCTGTAAATATAAGAAATTATTATGTGGTCATTTACAAACACGAAGCATACACACACACGCACACACACACACACACACACATATATATATATATAGAGAGAGAGAGAGAGAGCGGAAGGGAGGGAGGGAGATAGGGGGCATATACTAATAACATTTGGAACTACAAACACACGTTTGAAAACGCCTTACAGTATCAAAACCCGGGTGATGTTCCAGTGACATTCTACGAACACTCATGAGCCACATGAAAAAACAAGGGACCTATAATAATTACAAGACCAAGTTACAGAAGTATGGAACTCCATTAAATAAATTCAGTTACACGCATCACATCTAGGGTTCTGGCTAAGAGTTAACCCTACGCATCTAAAAGACTAATTATTATTGCAACTAGGTAGAACTTGGAATAGAAAATGTTGTCAGCTCATAATAATTTTCAACCAAATGCTTTCCAAGACAAAGAACAATTGTAGCAACAACATAGAAGTGACTCCAATATCTAAAAATTAATTTGAGGACCATGAGATGTTTCCTACTAAAGGATGTATGACTCTAGTTGAATGGTTGTTTGATTTGCATCCTCCAAAACAGAAGTAGTTCACTACTGTTTGCCTTCAACTGTTTTCCAATATATGATGGAACTTATTATATGCAGGACTACTGGTCACAAGACCCTGGTAACATGTAAAGTTAGAATGAAGCACGTTCAGAAACTCACACGATTACATAAACATGTCATCTGCAAGAATGAGACGCTTATTCTCTAGGGGTTAACATAACATCTGAGTATAGCAAAGAGGACTAGGACTGTCACCTGAACAGCAAATGATGAGAACCACCAAAACACAGAAGGGCACCCAGCAGCCTTCTTTTCCTTCAAGAAGAGGGCAATCTGATTCCTGAAACTTTGTCCTGACAGAGGTGGCGGGAATGGTGGCGGTACTGATAGAATTCACAATAACAAAAGAAAAAATATTTGATACATTACAGAAAACCAGTTCTAATCACATGATTTATAGCATAATATGCATACATCTTATAATACAAGAACAGAAAAGAGTGAATAGGAGGCCGCAGGATTGCCTCGTTAGTCTTGTCATTGTTAAACTTTACTTTCAGTGCTAAATAGAAGAGCTAAAAGGGATAGAACCGAAACATAATGCATCTAAATCAAAAAACTCGGGGTGTAAGCGGTAGGAGATGAGCATATAGATCTTGACAAGCATTCATATGTAAAGAGCTTTTGACAAGCAATCAAGGACACAGCTAATATACTCACATGTAGGTAGCAATTCTCCTATCCTCCTCAATTTTTTGAGTTGCAACACGACAAGAGGAAACAATGAAAGTCTCATTGCCACCGTAGATGATGATATTATAAACCACCTACAAAATTAATTTAATTCATTCAGCTTCCAATAGAGTACAAGCCATACAAATAGGTCCGCGAATTCCAAATGCCTTCTCTAATCACAAGAAATAGGCCCTAAAGCCGAGATCATGATTGAATCAAACGAATAAAACAGAGATAAATAGCCATTTCAACACGCCTGAAAGTACTCAGAGTTTGATAAAAACAAGCAAGGAGCTCGATTCCAATCACGATCATATATACATATATAACTGTGGGCGTGCTAACGAACAGCGAAACGAGCTAGGTATATCGTAATCACCAAGGAAGGCCAGTCGCATCGTGATAAGAATCGAGCACAGATATGACAGCACGTACTGGAAGGATCGGCTCGTCTGATTTGGTGAAATCGGGCTGAGTCGAGAATCGACGAGCAAATGAAATGCAATCATGAGGTGAGAGCGAGCGCAGCTCGGGCGACCACCGAGGGTTATAGTTGCGGCGCCCCTTGCGGTGGTGCTGTTGGTAGTGCGAACTACTACTGAATATATAATGGGAAGAACAAGGTGAGGATGAGGAGGAGGAGGAGGAGGTGTAGTGGCAGAAAAAATGTTGGAGAGAGGGTAGCGGCGGCGACGGCCGACAGCGGCGGAGTTTTGATGTCAAGAGCCGCATAGTACATGTCAACTGCACAGCGAAGTGTTGAGGATTAACGGGGTTTAAGATTTCACGCTGTAGAAAGTTAGACGTGAGAGAAATTGGGACAAAATCAAATTTGATACGCGAAGTATATGATATGCCTATTTTCCGTTTCTGCATCGGGGATTAATTAATTTTTGCTTAAATATTTTAAAATATTAATGGATTTTTTTTTTTTTTTTTTTTTTTTTTTTTTTTTTTTTTTTTTTTTTTTTGTTAGCTTATAACGTTTGGTAGGATGCGTTTGTTTGAAGGAATGTTCGAGCTTCTTTGAATTAATATTGCAAATAAGTTTGTTGAATTTTTTTTTTTCAGCATCGCCTACGACGAGTGACGAGTGTGACCCAAAACCAATTTGGGTTTATGCCTGGAAGGTCGACCATGGAGGCGATTTTCCTAATACGACAGTTGATGGAGAGATATAGGGACCAAAAGAAGGACTTGCATATGGTCTTTATCGACCTTGAGAAGGCTTATGACAGAGTACCGAGGAATGTCATGTGGTGGGCCTTAGAAAAGCACAAAGTTCCATCTAAGTACATTACCCTCATCAAGGATATGTACAAGTATGCGATGACGTGTGTTCGAACATGTGGGTGCGATACCAGCGACTTCCCAATTAAAATAGGACTACATCAGGGGTCAGCATTGAGCCCTTATTTATTTGCATTGGTGATGGATGAGGTCACAAGGGACATACAAGGTGATCTCCCTTGGTGTATGCTCTTTGCTGATGATGTGGTGCTAGTTGACGAGAGTAGGGCCGGGTAAATAGGAAGTTAGAGCTGTGGAAGGACACGTTAGAGTCGAAAGGCTTCAGACTTAGTAGGACGAAGACCGAGTACATGACGTGCGCTTTCAGCATGGCTACTCATGATGATGGTGATGTTAGCCTTGACGGGCAAGTGGTGGCCAAGAAGGAGACTTTCCGGCATTTAGGATCGATGCTACAAAAGGATGGCGGCATTGATGAAGATGTTAGGCATAGAATTGCAGCCAGTTGGTTGAAATGGCGTCAAGCTTCGGGCGTTCTCTGTGATAAGAGGGTGCCACAAAAGCTAAAAGGTAAGTTCTATAGGACGGCGATTCGCCCGGCGATGCTATACGGTGCTAAATGTTGGGCTACAAAAAGGCAACATGTCCAACAACTAAGTGTAGCAGAGATGCGGATGTTGCGTTGGTTTTGCGGGCACACAAGAAGAGATAGAATCCGAAATGAGGATATACGTGATAGGGTCGGTGTGGCCCCAATTGAGGAGAAATTGGTTCAACATCGGCTGAGGTGGTTCGGACATGTCCAACGGAGGCCTCCTGATGCACCGGTGCGCAGGGGAGCTCTACAGCGGGTCGATGTTGTTAAGAGAGGTAGAGGTCGGCCTAAACTCACTTGGGAAGAGTCGGTTCAGAGAGACCTTAAAGATTGGAATATCTCCAAGGATTTAGCGTTGGATAGGAGCGCTTGGAGACTAGCGATCAACGTGCCGGAACCATGACTTTTGCTCCTTTCTCTTTTGCTCCAATCTTTTTTTTTTTTTTTACTACTGTTTCTATTGGGTTTCATCTCTAGCCTACCCCAACTTGTTTGGGACTAAAAGGCTTTGTTGTTGCTGTTGTTGTTGTTGTCTTTTTTTTTTGAAATAATTATTTTTTTGTCTTTTTTCTTTTCCTTTTTATATTTTATTTATTTTTCCAACAACTAAAAAAAAATATATTTTGTAATTGTACTATTTTTTTCTTGTATAATCTTAATTTAATTTATTATGGTCTTGTAGTATTTTTTATTTTCATTCATTTAAAATTTATTCTTATAATATAAAAATATTAAAATTTATTTTTATTGTGAATAGAGTATATAAAATTATATTGAAAGGAGTAGATAATGGATCTCACATATGTATTTAAATGAATAAGTAGGAATGTGAGTGTGTGTTTAAATGGAGAGAGATTTAATGGAAAAATGATGTGGAGATGATGTGGATGAGACAGAGTGTTATTTTTTGATTGAATGAATGATATTTGTGTTAATGGATGTGGATGCCCTTAGTGGGATGCGTTAAATTGACGAAACTACCCTCTATTATTCTATATTTTGGAGTTGAACTTGGTAATTTCACCTAGTCTTGGCTTCCCGATTAAGTCTCCACCTACCCACACATCTTCTCATTCGAGATCCCCGAAAATCTGCTCTGCAACTTGCGCTTGTGTGCTTGATGATGAAGTTGTGTGTGGCCATTTGCATCGGTCAGAAAAAGGTGAGATTCAACCGCTATTCGGTACCGATTTCGATGTTAACGTAAAATGTGCATAATACTCAATTTTTTCTCTCTCAGTTGAGTGCAAAATTATGCATTCTTCGATCCTAACGGCCGACGGTCGAGGTAAAATTTTATTTTTGCAATTGATAGAGGTTCGCGTTGGCATGGTAGTAAAATTTTTTGGTTTCTTGAAATTACACATATGAATTCAACTAATGTAGGTTCATATGGGGTTTATTTTCTCGATTTCGTCAGCGATTTTTCTTTTACTGATTATATACTTTCATTTTTTGAGGCTTTTTTTTGTTGGTTCCGATTTTGCAATCCCAGCAGTGAGATTCAGATGCAGATGCTCGGATTTCTCTTAATTTAAGGTCTGCACCGATCGGTTTGGGAGGTCAAGAGATCGAACACCATCCTTGTGAAAAGAGTGGTTTTCCTGTGACAGGTTTGTCTTTCTTTGGATGTCTTACTCACATATGTTATTGTTGTTTGTGCAACACCATCTTTGGATAGAAACCCCGAGTACAACTCCCAGGCGTTGATATGTATGGAGGGAATTCATGGAGAAAAATTAGTCGATAATTACCCAGGGTCGACCGACACCCTATATGGCGGCGTCGTGCCACTGTTCCCAGCCATGTAAGATGATTCTCAAGGTTTGATTCAATCTTCTCGCTGCTACCTCGACATGTTCAAACGACGAGGGTGATGATTAAATTTCGATGAACCCTTGGCTATGCTTCTTGTACTCTCCGTCTACTACCGTCGTACTCGTGTCGACACGACTTGACATGGGTACTAGTACGAAATCTGGCTCCGATCCGATCAAAAGAGGCTGAATACGTTGACCACAGACTGCTGTCAGGGCGGGTTAAAGTTTGACGCTCGACGGTCAAAAATGTGACGGGAGAAGGCTGACGAACACTGGAGTTGGAATGGCAAGAACGGATATGAAGTTGGACAAGCAAGAACGAATCTGAATTCGGAAGTTGGAAACTTGGAAGGGCCGGAGAAGACGAAGTGCGGCCTGAGAAGACGAAGCGTGCGTCAAACGCGTGATCTGAATTAGGTTAATTGGATGTGGCTATGTACATTGTACGTGTGGGCTTTGTATGTACATAATAAATGGGCTTTTAAATTGAATGTGGCTTTTAATTGGATATGGCTTTTAATGTAAATTGACTTTTAATGGAATAATGTAATTTAGTTGAATGCTAATTGAATGCATGGGGCTTTACACTAATGTACTTTTAATTGGGCATTGATTATGTCCATGTATGACTTTTATATTTTAATTAAGCCAAAATTCAAATGATTAATTATGTACATTGTATATAGGGCTTTTATATTTTAGTTAAGTCAAAATTCAAAATGTGCATGAATGGGACCTAAAAAAATTAATTACCACTCATATTATTTATCTTATATAAATCATCTTTCAAGTGAATAATTTTACATAGTAAACAAAAATTTCAATTTCAAAATATCTTCATCCAACAAAGGAAAAGAAAAAATTACCCTTAGACCTTTAAATCCACAAAAAAATGATTTTGATGATACTCCTTTATGGAATCATGTAAAATTTATTTACTTGGCAAGTGGCGGAGGAGAAAATAGAGTATGGTCTTGTAACTATTGTCACAAGAAAGTTACAGGATCATATTCTAAAGTGAAGGCTCACTTACTAAGGCTACCAGGAAGCGGTGTCACCATTTGCAACTCAATTTTGGATGATATTGATGTTGAGAAAGAACATGAAGATGCAGAAAAAAAAATAATAATAAAAAAAATAAAAGCTAATAAATAAATACGAGCTAGAAGGCAAGCTGACTATTTGAGTTTGCCACCTGGCATGGATCTCTTGCAGCGGAAAAAAAAAAAAAA